TTCCTTTTGTTTTTGGGCTCTTTTGTTATTGACCTAAAAGCCCACATCTTCCTTAACCTATTTAATTGGTTGTCTATTGCTATTGTGGGTGTGTGAAAGTGTTGGAGCCGTGAGTTTATGAGAAGGGAGAGTTGCTTTGTGCTTTTGGGTCTTGCTTTGTGCTAACCGTGGTTTCTCCTTCTTCTCTATCCTTTGTGGCATTTTCTTGAGGCTGCCATACATTTAACACCTTGTCCTTGGTGGGCAAAGCCGTGAGCAACCAGGTTTGGTGGCGCAAGAGGTTGAGGTTTTCGGTTGTTGGTTGGTGGTGTCGACTTAGTGGTTTAATCTGAGCTCGGTTCTTGGTGTTATTGAAGGCCCAAAATCAACAGGTATCTTATTGTAATGGATGATCTGTGGGATGCTGAAATCTTGGATCATATGAAAAGATTATTTCCAGATGACAGAAATGGAAGTCGAATTATGCTGACTACTAGGATAGGAACGTGGCTATTGATTCCAATTCTTGTCTACCTCTTCATTGCATGTGTTTCCTTAGCGACGAAAAAAGTTGGAATTTACTTTGTGAGAAGGTATTTGGAGAAGATTGTTGTCCTCCTGAACTCGAGAAAATTGGAATCAAGATTGCACAGAAGTTCCAGGGACTTCCACTTGCAATTGTTGTGATTGGTGGGATCCTGTCAAAGGCCGAGAAGACAGAAGATTGGCAGACTGTAGTAAATTCGACTGGTAATACAGATGATGAGAAGTACTTAAGAGATTTTGTCTTTAAGTTACACTCACTTGCCTCATCATTTGAAAGCTTGTTTTCTTTACATGGGAATCTTCCCAGAAGATTTTAGTATTCCTGTCTCCACACTCTTCAAGTTATGGGTCGCTGAAGGATTCCTAAAACCTTCAGGATCTAAAAGCTTGGAAGATGTGGCTGAAGAGTACTTGTTGGATCTTGTTGACAGAAGTCTTACTTTGGTTCATGAGTACAGGTCTAATAGCAAAATTAAAACTTGTGGAATCCATGATCTCTTACGGGACATGTGCGTAAGAAAAGCTCGAGAGGAGAAGTTGTTTCAAGTTGCCAATAGGGTCCACATTTGTGTTGATGAAGGCTTTAGCCTGCGCCGCATAATTATCCATCCAAATACATAAATTCTTCCTTCTGATGCAAAAATAATGCCAACTTCCCCAGTGAAGTCTATTTTGTCTTTTGATAGGGATCTTCCTGATTCATTCATCGTTTCTTTAAATTTTAGGCAGATCAGAGTGTTGCACATGTTGAATGTGCAATTTTTTAATTTTCCTGCCAACATAGTCGAACTAGTTAACTTGCGGTGCCTTGCTTGCTTCCTGGGAGCTGATCGGCTTTTGTCATCAATATCCCGACTTCAGAATTTACAGAGCTTGTTTCTTTGTTGTCAAGGGGATTCAATATATCTGCCATCATGGAGGACGCCACTATTAAGGCATATCCGGTTGACAGTAGTAAACCTGCCTGATCTTGCAATAACTGAGGGAGGA